ATCACCCTTTTGGGACTTTAGGTTGGGACAGATGATGTGGCAATTTAATATGGTACGTCGAAATGGTATCTTTCAAGTTTAATGGTCAAATGGATGAATCTGGTCATGAAATTTGACGTGTTGGGGTTTTTGGGTTTCTAAACATAGTGGTGATGTTTGATTGGTCAAATAGGCTCGGGATGATTGAGATTTATGGCTGACAAGTTCAAATTAACGGGATTTGCTTAAATAGAATCTTTGTTTGATGAAGAGCCAAATGAGGGAATTTTGGGATGAAATTTGGTGGGTTGGCATTTTTGGACATCTTGAATCTAATGGAAGTGATGGATCTTTGATCAGAGGTGTATATTGATAGATTTAATTCATCATGGTTTTAGCTTATGATTTTTCAATTAATAAAAGGGCCTGAATTAGAATCTTACTTTTTTAACGGTCAAATGGAGGTGTTTGGTCGTGAAATTTGACACTGTGGGATTTTTTGGGTCTATGAACACAGTGGTAAGGTCTCATTGGTCATATGAAGTTGGAATGATAGATGGTAAGCTTTAATTAATGAGATTTGTTGAAATAAGATCTTGGCTTGATGGGGGGTCAAACAAGGGAATTTTGAGCTACAATTTGGTAAGTGGGCCTGGATTTGGGTGAGAGGTCAAGTTGATGGTTCTGATCCGAGAAAGATATGGCCAATCTTAACAATTATTCAGGGCCATCAAAATGAGATCTTGATGTTTTTGTAGTTGATCATTGTAGATTTGTGGTAGGATTCGTTAGTTGATTGTTTTCTAGTGATCTTGAGGTGATGGATATGTTGGATCCAATTTTGGGGATTGGAGTTTGAATATCGCATAGATCGGGGCTGTCAGAAACGGGGCTAGTATGATGAACGATGGATCTTTGTAGTTTAGTAATGAAAAGTGATGTGTAACTAAGTTATAATTTTCCAAGTCTGGGGATGATGTCTAATCGAATGTTGATATTGATCTCAAGATTGTTATTTGTCTTGTGGATTGTGTCAAATGAGGGCATTTCATGTTTGGGAACATCTCAAGTTGATCTGGTTGTGTTTCTAAGTTTTTTGGGTGTAAGAGGAGGGTACAAAGAGGTTGTTATTTGTCTTTGAAGCTTTACCTTTTGGATCTCTCTTCTTATACACTTTTCTTAAATTTGTTGGTGGGATCAGCACCGACTAACCCATCTATCAGATGAGGCAAAACTTTAGAAACATGAACAAGGTGAAACCTGCTTTCATTTTTTCCTTTCCTCAAAATCTTTAGAGCAACATCGTCCCTAACCTTGAGAACAGAAGTTCTTCGGCCTAAATCAACCCCAAGTCTTCCCACTAGGACTTCAAAACTTAATTCCTCTTTTAGATCTTCTGAAGAACCACTTTCTTTTTCTGTGCCTACATCCTCAACATGACATCTTTGTTCTAAGCTCTTAATTTTGCATTTTTTTTTTCTTTAGGCTCCATTTGGAATGAGTACAAATACAAATATGTATAGCACAAAACCTTCTAGTTTATATTATTTTGTATGTATTTTTATAGTACATATTTGCATTTGTGCTCCTTCCAAATTGAGCTTTAGGGTAAATTAGAAAGACCCCCTTGTACTATGGGGTCAGTGGCAAAGACCCCCCTAAACTTTAGCCGTTAGACAAAGACCCCCTCCATTAGTGTTCCGTCAGTTATCTTCAAAGAATATTTTTATTTAGGGTAATTGTCAAAAACCCACCAACACTTTTTCTGAATTCTCTTAAACCCACCACAACTTTTCAAAATGTTTAAAACTCACCATGTCAGTGAGATTTTATTTTCTAAAATTTACCATTCGTTACAACACTATTAAAGTTAAATGACCCAAGTTGTCCACATCAACCTAAATGCATATTTCATGACTAAATTGCCCCTGAATGGTGAGTCAACCTATTAAACAATTTTTTTTATCGAACTCTTGGGTTTTGGATAAGTTTGGAAGCAGAACTAAAGCAAAAAACCTTGTAGCATTTGAATCTCAATATAAGATCTTTAACGGTAGTTCCTTGGCTTCTCAATCACAATGGAGGTCTTTCCCTATAAAAATAGAGGAAGTAGGGAAGAAAGAACTAGTGTCTTCTAAGTTAAAGTTTGGAGGTTTTCCTACTAAAGTGGAAGATTCCAATGTTTAGGGGATGAGGTTGCAGAAACAGAGTTCTCTTCCTGAGCAAAGCAAGAGGTTGTAGGAAAAGAGGAGTGAGTGCATCCCTAATAATACGACTAGTGAGCCAGTTATTCCCACAAGAAAGTTCATGGAAAGCCTGGAATAACTGGTCCCACATTAAGACAAACCCACCGTTGGCACACAACTAGTGTGACGTTGCCGTTATCTTGATGCTCATTCGTCAAGTCCGTTCCCATTGGCGCACCTATTTTTTTTATTTGGATGTACTTAGCCTTGTTGAATGATTGAAATTACAACGTTTTACCATTTTGGTTGCTTTGTTCATCGTGGGCAGTTCATAACGTTTGGGTTCGCATGTACGCCGCTGTGGTAGAAGGTAATAGGGATGTATAGAGTACCAAGAGTATATGCTTGAGGGCATTGACTAGGCTGCTGGTGGTCATCCCCATTTGGTTCTTGGCCATTATTTTCCCTTTCTTTAGTCCTATCAACTCCGTCGTCGGTGCTCTCCTGGTCAGCTTCATCATATACATCATACCTGCCATGGCTCATATGCTCACTTACAGAAAGGCCTCCGTTTGTCAGGTAACCTACTCTCTCTTCCTTTGCAAATAGAGATGGCATTGCCCATTAATTTTCTTTGTATTCTCTCTGTCCAGTGTTTTTGTTCTCAAGTTTTCAGTGCAAGTGCAAATCGTAATTGTCTTCTATTGCCCATTAATTTCCTGCAACCTCTTGCTTTGCTTAGAAAGCAACTGTGACAAACCAAGTCCTAATTGTCTTCTATTGGGAGTTCCAATAAGGCAGATTTTGGTGTGATGAAGATGGTAGACAACCGTGACTTTGGTAGTTCTCTAAAAATCCTGTGAAGGAACCTTAATGCTGTATGTGTGTGCATAAACATGAGCAGCAATATTCTGAATGTTCTTCTTCTCAGACGATGAAAGAGACAATAATCCACCGTTCTTCTCAGATGATGAGAGAAGCAGTGGCCAGTAAGAAGTTGCGGACTGTACTCCGACTGCTCTTCTTCTCAAACGATGGGAATAGTCTTCATGATCATCCGACCGTTCTTCTCAGACGAAGGTGAGAAAAGCAGCAACTGGTGAGAAGTTGTGGACTGTTCTTCTTCTCAGGCACATCCTGTTCTTCTTCAAGTTACGAAGGGGAAGCAACAGTTGATGGAAAAAGAAAGTAGCGACTAATGCTTGGTTTTAGGTTGAAGATTGATGGGGTAATTTTGGTATATTGAAAAATGGACCGAATATAATGAAGGGTAAAATGGTAAATTAATGTTGCCCATTAATCAAGTTATCGTTATCTCACTGACATGGTGAATTTTGGACGTTTTGAAAAGTTGTGGTGGGTTTAAGAGAATTGTAATTATGGGTTTTGGATAATTTTACTTTTATTTAACTATTTTATTTTTTTAAATTCCCAAATTACCCATTTGTTATTTATTTGAATGGTGAGAAAGATATCTTGGACCAAACCACCATAGATACGGGAAAAGCAAGAACCATTAGGAACTCGGTTCATAAATGTACCGAGAATCTAAAGAGGACAACACATAGGATCCAAGAAGTGACTTTGCACTGATGCCTTTGACGACATCAAAAATAATCATGCGCTCCTTCAAATTCTGCAACAAAAAAAAGTTAGAAGTCAGTATTCCCTACTACTGATATTGGACTTCTGGGCTTAAACTTATCATGAATTGACTTTCAGTTATGCTCTTGCTGCCCTTCAATAGTTTTGAAAAACACTAACCAGTAAATTTGAGATGCAAATGACCAGAAATCAACCAAAACACAGAAGCCATATGCATAATCTAAACTAGTAACACAGAAGCCGCACACATAATCTCAACTCACAATTATGCTTAAGAAACACGCATGCACATTGAGTTTATATCTTGGATCAATTTGTCTAAATTGCAGGAAGAGGAACCTTCTTCGCTAACATTCCATTACAACAAAAATAAATGGTTTGGTTTCCCCTGAAATTCCATTGTGACCTCTTCACTCGAATGACCTTCTTCTTATTGATACAAACTGACAACACCAGATGCTTCAACCCCTCTTCTCCGCTACATCTGATCAAAATGTCGTGAAACATCTCACTGTTGCATAATTGCTCTTTGGTCGAATACAGTGGGTTGCCTGAGAAATGTTCTATTCGTGATACTAGAGAGAACTGGGCACCCGGCAGGATACCCGATTTGAACTTCTTGTTGATACAAGTGACTGCATCTGCATTTTGGATCAAATGGATCAATGATACTAGAGGACGACAACCCTGCGTTGAACTACCTCCGCAAGAAGAGTCATTCACTTGTATGGCGTATTTGCTGAAACAAGAAGCTATCTCTCATTATAGACAAGCACCCCAAATGAAGAAAATGAGAATTTGGAGATGTGTTCTTCTGATACAAAAAGAACAATGCCAGAAAGAGAGTATGGATTCTCTTTTGTTTTCCTATCAACGGTCTTAAAGTTAGATTATTTTTGTTCCTTTTCTTTTCCAATGACGATCAAATGTGTTTTGGGAAATTAGGTTTTAAAAAAAAATGGCAAAAAAGGAAAATAGAAAAAGTTTAGTAGGATATTTTAATAATTTAACATTTTTCGTCATCTGACTTAACGGTTAAGGGGTATTTGTTACAAAATAAAAATTTAGGGTTACTGGAAATTAAAATACAGGGGATATTTGCCACTGACCCCATAGTACGGGGGGGGGGGGGGGGGGGGGGGGTCTGGGGGGGTCTGTAATTTACCCTTTTTCTTTATTTTAAAAATTGAAGCACGAACCGTCGTTGCCGTACCAACCTTGCATTCGGAATATTGTCTTTGCCCTGACTGAGGCCGAACTCATTATTGTCACCCTCCAAGCAGATAACACAGCACTCACTCGCCGCTCACATCTCTCATTTCTCTTGGTGTGGTCTAGCGAAGGGTTGATTTCTCGACGGAGACTCTTAGATCTCTCTCTCGGTGTGGTCTAGCGAAGGGATGATTGTACGTCCTCCCTGCGCAGCTTAGAGGCAAAGCCGAAACCAGGTGATGGTCTCTCTCTCTCTCTCTTGCCATCACACTGTATTTATGTGCAAACGCCAAATTTTCTGTAGCCATCCGACAAAGATGGGACTTTGCTTATTTCCAAGAACCAGTTAGTTCAACCGGGTTTCTATCACCACGGAACCCTATCTATGAGTGTAGCTGAACTCAGATTGTTCTGGAGGCAAACTCTTCTTCGACAAAGATGTTTATTCAGAGCGTACTCTGGTGCTTCTTCGGCATCATTGTTGTATGAACACGCGTTTGATTCGAATTTTTTGTTCCAAAATTCCGTATCTGATGTAAGTAATGTTCCCGGTGAAAATTCATATGCCACCACGGAGTGTAAGTTGTTCCCATTGGTAGTTCGAGTGTTTCATTCCTTGAGTTGGAGAAGTGCAAGGGAGATACGGTTCCCAGAAGCCGTTGACAAGTATGGATTTCATCGATCTATGCACGCATTTGGGATTATGATACACATCTTCTCATCAGCAGGAATGCGCAGGGAAGCATCTGGTCTCTTGAGGGAGGTCGTGTTCTTTTATAAGGAAGCCAGTTATGACATGTTTGATTTGCTCCCCACATTGATGAATTTATCGGGGGAAGAACAATCTGTCATTGTTTTTGAAGTACTTATGAATATTTTTGCAGAGTCTTTGATGCTTGAGAATGCAGTTGATGTATTCGTGCAAGCTAAGAGCATTGGGCTCGAGCCTCATGTGTCCTCGTGCAATTTCTTGCTCAAGTATCTGGCTGAAGGAAATAGAGTAGAATTCCTTACTAGTTTATTTGATGAAATGAAGAACTATGGGCCACATCCTAATGTTTACACTTACACTATTTTGATGGACTTTTACTGCAAAGGAGGTCTTTGGCAGGACAAGGCAGATATTAGGCGAGCTAATGAGATCCTAGTGGAAATGCAGAATTGTGCTGTGCGTCCAACGGTTGTCACATATGGCACATATCTATATGGAATCTGTAGAGCTGGAGATGCAGACTTGGCATTAGACTTCCTCCATGACTTGAGAAATAGAAATCAACCTCTCAATAGTAATTGTTACAATGCTGTTATATATGGTTTCTGTAAAAAAGGCGAGGTGTACAAGGCTACAAGGGTTTTGGAAGAAATGAAAAGTGATAAAATATCACCTGATGTTTATAGCTACAGCATTTTGATAGATGGGTTCTGCAAGAAGGGAGATGTTCTAAAAGGTTGGAATTTACTGAAGGAAATGGAAAGCAGTAAAATAAGGCCTTCCATAGTTACCTTTAGCTCAATTTTGAATGGTCTATGTGAAGGTGGACACATGGAAATTGCACTAGACTGGTTCTATAAGCTCAATTCTTCTGGTTATAAGCATGACCAGATTTCTCACAACATATTAATTAATGGATATTGTAAGCAAGGGGAATTGGATTCTGCCAATAGAATTCTAGAAGAAATGTTCAGACACAACTTACCCCCTGATGTTATCAATTGGACCAGTTTGATCCATGGTTATTGCAAGATAGGGTGCTTGGAGAAAGCTTTGGAGCTGTTTAAGTTTATGCTTGATGGAGGTATACTACCTAACACTGTGACCTGTACTGTTATTGTTGATGGGTACTGCAAGGAAGGGCGTGTTGATGAAGCTTTTAAACTTATGGATGAAATGCAAGACCAAGGTATTATTCCCAACTTGTTTACCTATAACACAATCATCAATGGACTGTGCAAGGAAAGGAAATCTGAGCGTGCCTGGGAACTTTTCCCTTTGATGCTAAAGAGGGGTCTAGTTCCTGATGTTGTTATTTATAGTACCCTTATTGATGGTTTTGTCAAACAGTCAAACCTAAAGGAGGCTTTAAAGTTGTATGCAAGGATGTCAAAAGATGGGATCTCACCCAATGCCATCACATATACAAATCTGATCAGTGGATTGTGCAATTGTAGCAAGGTGTATGATGCCCTAAATTTGTTCAAGGAAATGATTGGAAAGCATTTGATGCCTGACAAAATTGCTTACACAACAATTATTGCTGGGTTTTGTAAAATTCGAAATATGAACACAGCTTGGCAACTGTTCACTGAAATGAGAGAAAGAGGCTTTTCACCTGATGTTTTTACTTATACCTGTATAATTGATGGGTTTTGCAAATTGAATCAGATGGACATTGCTCTTATGTTGGTTGATGAAATGATACAAGAGAATGCCACTCCCAATGAGGTGACTCGCACTTCTCTTCTCAATGGGTGCCGCAGATTACATGATCTGGATAAAGCTCGAGAGGTTTACGACAAGATGAAGAAGAAAGGTATCTTGTTAGATGGTCCCATCTGACACTAGGGTTTGGTAGTGGCAAGAATGAGAAAGGTTAGTCAGTCAACTAAATGACATGGAGTGAACCAAACATTTGTTTAGAACTCTCAGCCTGATGATGAGAAAAAGACACTTCCAATTAGGTAACTTATACTTCTTTATTACAGGGTAGTGCAGATAATGTGATTTGGATAAAGATTTAGAGATTTACAATGAGATAAAGAATGGAAGTATCTTATTAGATGATTCTATTTGACACTAGGGCTTGATTTTGCTGGGATGAGAAAGGTTAGCCAATGAAAGGCTATGGAGTGAACCAAACATTGCACAAACCTCTTAATTTAATTTATACTTGGTAAGAAATCTGGCTACCTCCTCATATATATGCTGTTTATTTATGATTATATCTCTTGCCAAATTGTTCCAATAGCTTTGCTTTATTTTTTAATTTGGACAAAGAACTTGTATTTATGCCTTTACCATAGGAGCTGTATATTGGTATACATAGTTTGGGTTTCTTATTCTGGTTGAGATGTTTGATGTTTTCTCATCCACAAAAAATGCTGGTAGTTGTATGTATATGATAGTTATGATAGGTATGCCCATTTTTTTTTTGTTGTTCCTATGGACTGAATTCGGTTTCACTGTTTCCAAATGGTATGTAATGAGTCTGCAATTTAAAAGAATTGTAACAAAGCATCCTATTTAGATACTTGCACAATTCATTTGTGTTTACACTTATTATACAGTTTTCTTCTAGCGTCACAAACAACTTTGAATGAATCGTCTAATGTTCCTCATGATTTAATGCTTCAGTTTTGCATAACTTTTGTTTTCTTTTTTTCTTCTTTGGCAGCTTCTGCGGTTCTAAGAATGATTATGGAATGATAGCTTACTTTCATCTCGCTTGCTTCTGGCTATGAATGTAGGTTTGCGAACACACCTTGGTAAATAATGCTCACATATCTTATCAAGAAAAAAGTATGATGACTTGCGGAAAATGAGCAAGATATGCTATTGAAAAAAGCCAACATGGTCATTCTTTTAACACAACTACTCTTGATCAATTGGATTACAGCTAGAATAACAAAGTAGGAAGGGAGATCAGGGTTGGGTAGATTGGTGGGAAGGAATTTTGCTCTGTAGGGTAAATGGTTATGGATATTCTCAATAGAGTTCGATAAGTCGTGGTACATCCATGAGGTGCTAGCAAATGGGTGGGATGCTGGTGTGGCTACTAGATCATCATTAGCCTTTCCTTATAAAGCCATTTTAGGTTTGAAACACATCTGTGTCTGCATGCTGGTGAGCCCATGCATGTATTTATGTGTCTGTGTGTGTATTTAATTTCCAGTGAAAGTGTTTCCATCAGAATAGTTGATGTGGGTGCAACTTCCATTTTGCTTTTTTTCAGAAAATTATAAAGATGGATGAAGTTGGACTATTCTGCCTGAGGAATCTTGGTAAGTAATCTCTCCTAGTTACTAATGAGGAAGTAACAGCCATACAATATACAAATTTTAGTCCAAGTTCTTTGATTGAAGAATGCACCTATTCCAACATCAGATTTTATTATGAATCTTTCTCTATTACAGTTTTTCCATATTGCATGGATGTTTTCACATTCTTTTTGTCAGGAATAAAAAACAGAAAGGAAAAGAATATGTACTGTGTGAGCTAATATGAACTACCCACAGGATTTAATGGTATCAAAAGTGCCAAGAATTCCCTGTATATCATGAAAAAAATATATGAAAAGATGTATAAAAGGTTTTCTTATCTCTGTGTGGTGGGGCCCTTGGAATAAGTGACAAACCATCTCTTGTCACTCTCCCCCCAGCAAGGCTATCAGCTATTGATTTGATGGCTCTTTAACCACATGAATGAGTGGTTAGGTGTGACACTTGTGTATATATTTATATCTATATGGTTGTTTAGGAACTCTTCCTCATCAATCAAGAATGATCTGAAAGTCTCTCAACAATGAACCACTCAAAGCCCATACAGATTAATGGTTAAACAAGAGAGAATATATGCTCCCAGAAACCACTTAGCATCAGTACTACAATAAAACCTTAGTCTAGGCTGGGATTCACGAGTCAACATGTGCCTATGAGTCTACTTGTGATGGACTTGGAACATCATATTTACAATTATACCCCTTACATTGACACACCAAGATGCAGAATCCTCTTTTGCATATGTAACGAAGAGATGAAACAAGCATGCCATCTCTCTCTCTCACAGATGCATGAGAGAGAGAGAATACCTGCAAACTATATCTTGTAGGTAGTCTCCTCATAATACTTAGGTCTGAACCCATATGACCAAGGAAAAGTTAAATATAGTGGGCCTGTGTATCATTTGTACCATACTACCAGTACTTGCTTCTGTCAACCAATGCTTTTAACTACTCACAGCCAAAATGATTGATACATCACCTAAACTGTTTTTTAGGTATATTTCACTCAATGACCCTGTTGGTTGAACTGCTGAACCATTTGACGTTGTCAGTGGGCCATGGGTTAAACATTTACTCTTTTCTATTTTTTAGACATTTCCATAATTAATAACCATAATTTTTATTTATAACACTTTTTTTTATTTGATCATTAACAAAAAACTTTCATTAAAGAACTTTAAGTACAAGAAAGGGAGATAAACCATGTGGACTCCCCCAAAAGAGACTAAGTGCCACCCAAAGAGAAAATAAAACAATTAGAAATGAGCTATTACATTCTTATTTGTTTGGCAATGTCCCCTGTCAGCCATTTAAATTTCTTCTTTTCATTGTTGTAGTTCCAAAGCCCATTCTTGTCTTCCTTTAACCAACCCATTTCCACCTCAGAATCTCCTTCTATAACCAACTTACTAATATTCATCTCTTTAGCTCTTTGAACCCCTTCCAAAGCCACCAAGATCTCAGCCCTGAAAAAGAGCTATTACATTCTTATTTATCACACTTATTTTTTATTAAAATGATGAATATATAATATTGAAGGCATGCTTTTTGTGGAAGTTTCATGGGCAAGCCGGGGATAGAAAGCATTAGGGTTGTGTTCAGAGAGACCTTGGGCAAGGTGGTGGCTATGTACTCAGGATCAATTGGAGCGGGAGATTCTCCGGAGAGCTGAAATGATGGCTTTGCTAAAGGGACTTAGATTAGCAAAGTAATTTGGCTTCCAACAGTTGGAAGTAGGAGGCCTTGAAATTGGTGATATCTTGGATAGGGAGCAACAATCTACCTCTACAAGCATGCTTTTCTGAACATAGATTGCTTATTAAGGCTTAGTTTGGAAAGAGTACAAATACAATTTTCTTTTGATAAATGATTGATAATTTATTCACAATAATCAGAATGGAATTACAAAAGAGCCTGCCCAAGGAGTACAAATACAAATTTGTAGAGTGCAAAACCTTATATTTTGCATTATTTTGTATGTATTTGCACTGTACATATTTGTATTTGTACTCTTTCCAAACTGAGCCTAAGGGAATTGAATATCAGTGCAATTGGATGAGAAGAACTACAAATGGAATGGTGGGTTCACTAGCTAAACAAGGGGTTAATAGACAGCACTTGTTTTGGGCAGAAGTGTAACATAATCCTGCGCTGTTGGAATGTTCCAACCTGTTTGTACTAAATCGTAATATTTATTCTAATAAAATTTCCTTTGCTGATAAAAAAATGGCATGCTCTTTTTATCGCAAATGTTATGTTATTTTCTATATTTTTATTTTTTATATTTTTATTTAATTTATGGTTTCACAGGTTGATCCATTTAATCCAGATAAGTTGAACTGCTGAACCACCACCTGGATGGAAAAGCGGTTTCATTTCTGTGTTGGTTTTAAAAACATTGATAAAAAACAAAACTGGTATTGGTAAATGGATCAATATCTTAGTTATTTTTCTGAGATTGCATCAATATCTTAAATTTAGAGAGGCCAAAATGACTAGTCATCACCTCTCCGCATTTATAAGACTACGCATCATTGCTCCACCGCGCCTCGCCCCACAATCGCCCCACACGACGTGCGACACCTGTCCAGTCGCACGCGGTGGGGCATTCCCGTGTGCGAGGCTAACAGGATGGATGCTAACCCCGCCTGTTAGCCCCAAAATGAACTCAAAAGGACTTTAGTCTGCAACTCTGCGAGCTTTTCCCATATTCCCGCTCCCTTGAAGCTCAAATCGGAGGCTCTGACCCCCGTTCTCTACTCGAGCTCAGATCTCTGCCCCCATCTCCGACACTGGAGATCGCTCCGGTCACATCTCCGAGCATAGAATTTAGATAATACCATTCTTTGTGTTTTCGTATGGTCATTATGGTTGATACATGCAGGGGCATTTGGGAATTAATCAGTTGATGTATGGTTGAACCATAGAAAGATTACCAGAAAAGGTGGAAAAAGTAGACTCCTTACAGGAGAGATCCACTGAGCACAAAAATGACTTAAGCTTGATTTTATGTTGATGTATGGTTGATTTTATGACTATGCATCAAACAGATTTTTTTTTTTTTCACAAAAATGATTGAGTGTTTGAGGTTGGATTTAGTAGACTCCTTGGTTTTTTCTTCATAGAGCATTGGTTTCTTGAAATGAAAAATACCCACACAAAAAACGGTGGCCGGAGCGATTGTCGGTGTTGGAGGGGGAGGTGGAAGAGGGTAAAAAACGTCTCTGGTTTGAAAAGAAAAACAAAACATCAAAGGTGGGTTTAATGAAAAAGCCAAAGCCCTAGACAAAAAACGAAGGTTAGAACTTACCTGATGGCCGGAGCGACCGCCGGTGCCAGAGATGGGGCAGAGATCCGAGCTCGGGCAGAGAACGGGGTCAGAGCCTTCGATTTGAGCTTCAAAGGGGCGGGAATATGGGAAAAGTTCACAGAGTCGCAGACTAAAGCTCTTTTAAGTTCGTTTTGGGGCTAACGGGCAGGGCTAACGTTCATCCCGTTAGCCCCGCACGCGGAACGCCCCATCGCGTGCGACTGGACAGGTGTCAGCCACACATCGTGTGGGGCGATTGTGGGGTGAGACACGGTGGGGCAGTGATGCGAACTCTTTGCACATAGTATTGGCTTTTCTTTCCCCTGATTGTTTTCATATTGTAGGTGTGATATGGAAGTAAGAAGATTAAATATTTGTGTGTTTTGCATGGGTTTAAAGGTAATGACTAAAAGGTGCATTCATTTCTCTATAGATGGTCCCAATGTTTATGGTTGGCAAATGGGTCATGGGTCTGCTGTACTCCTGCACCAGAAATACTAATTGAATAGTCCCAGAAATCCAGATTCTTAACGTCATGACTTGGAATCATCAACTCCAACTGGTCCTGATGTATTTTATGTTGCAGGAGAGGGTTATGAAGGTGATTTTATTTATCTTATCACTACAATTGGATGTACACCGTCCTTTCCTCATTATTACTACCCCAACTGCTCTTTCTGTATGGGAGGCCGACTTCTTGCGTTTGGCACCTTGTTTCAATGTTGTGGTCTACAATGAGAGCAAAGATATCAGGAAGAGTATATGGTCACTAGAATTTTATGAGGAAGGTGGTTGCATAATGTTCCAAGCACTTTTATCACTGCCAGAGACTATAGTTGAGGTACTTATGGATTTATTTGTGTTGCTTTTTTAAAATGGTTTATGATATGGAAAAGAAATATAGTTCCCTCATGGATGAGTGACTTTAGGATGAGGGGAGGAAAAGATGTGTTCCTTTAGGCATCTTTTTTCTGGTTGACTTGGGCCAAGAAACCATTATTCTCAGGTGTTTGATTTACCATTGGTTATCAACAAGTAAAGGTGCATAATGGTCTATCAGAAGTGGTGCTGTCTTGATACTTTAAGTTGGACTAATGGATTTTGTTGTAGTTCTCTTTACTATTGTTATCTGAAATGATTTTGGAATTGTTTTCTTCATAATTGATGGAGATCTAATTTACTTCTACATATTTTCTGCAGGATTTAGAAGCATTGGAATGCTTGGGATGGGAGACTATAATAGTTGATGAGTGCCAACAAATTAGAGTGTCGAAGCACATGGAACAAATTAAGATGCTAACAACTGATTTTAGGCTTCTTGTTGCTAGTGGTCAAGTAAAGGTGTTTGTTTCTTCATGCTTTTCTGTTGCTTTTCTCTGTTACAGGCATAATAATTAAGGTACCAAGGCAAGACTCATCTAGGTGCTAGGGTAGTTTTAAAACTTACAACTGCACTGGGCCCAAGTGTAATATCTGTACTTTTGGAGTATCTTTACCCCTTTTAATCCTCACTGTGCATTATTGTTTTTACTAATGAAATGATTCCTGGTTATCCATAAAAAAATAAAAAAGAAAGGAAAAATAGATAGGGGAGAGCGGAGAGGGAAAAAATGGTAAAATAAAAAAAATGAAAAATCCCTAAGGGTGGTGCTCCTGTTCAGAGCAAAAGAAACTAGAGAGGGATATAAAAAGGGGAAGGGGTGATGAATAAAAATGAAAAAGACAACTTTATTAGTGGAACCTTTGTTTAGACAGAAAGAGAGAGGGTGTAAAATTGAAGGGTCACTTTTTATTTTATTTTATTTTCTCTGTACTACATTACTACTTTTTCTTCCTGTCTGTTGAGACACAAATAAAGGGAATAGAGAGACAAGTGTACAAGAAAAGGCCACGTCAGCCTTTAACTAATGTAACTGACAGTCAACCACTAGAACAAACTAAATAACAAACTGGACAAGTGGAGAGGCTGATATAACAGAATTGTAACAAAAGTGTTATAAATAAGGAAAGGAAGCCAGAAGAGGAATCATTGATTTTGGGAATTCAATCTCTCTCTCTCTCTCTCTTTCTTTTTTTCTCTCTCTCTCTCTCTCGTTTAGGAGGCAGGCTTCCTCGAAAAGTCCCTGAGTTAGGCAGTTACCTAACAAGTTGGTATCAGAGCTAAGATGCCGAGCACAAGGTCGTTCGCGATGGAGAACAGGGTTGACAACATGGAAGGAGAAATGCAAAGATTATCGGCTGTCGTCAAAGAAATAAAAGAAAGCTTCGCATCCTTGCTTGAGCAACTGGAACAGACACCACCTGCGCCGAATCGGGAAGGGTAGGAAGAACACAGTGACACCAGTCATTGAAGCGGATCAAGAACGGCAAGAATCGAGTTTCCCGTCTTCGCAGGGGAGATCCCACGTCCTGGCTTCTGTGAACCGAAAGGTACTTTGATTACCACGATACGCAGGGACCTGATCGTGTTCCATTAGCTTCCGCACACCTGGAAGGAGAGGTGATCGTCTGGTACCAGTGGTACCGGCAACGACACCCAAGAGCCACATGGGTGGACTTCACCGATGCCTTAACCATGAGATTTGGAGTCTTGGCTTTTGAAAACTATGATGAAAGCCTCGTTAAGCTACGACAGACTGGCTCCGTCCAAGATTATCAGATGGCGTTCGAAAGGTTAGCTGTGCGTGTGCAAGGGTGGCCAGAAAACGCACTTGTCGGCAGTTTTGTTGGTGGACTTAGGCAAGAATTGCGGCTAGAGGTTAAAGCCATGCAACCCACCACCGTTCTTGACGCAGCAGCCTTAGCTCGACTCCATGAAGACAAACTGAATCGAGCAAGAAGGATTAATCGACCTTTGGGAGCTGCGGTCAGACTAGGTATACCGAATCCAGAACCGGGTATCTTGGGTAAATTGGAGTCCAGACCAGGAGTAGGAATCACAAGCAAGGAAGCCAACTCTGGTTCAGGCCCCGGCTCAACCAAGAGGTTAACCTGGGCTGAGATGCAAGCCTGACAGGAAAAGGGCCTTTGTTATGCATGTGGAGACAAATTCGAACCGAGCCATCGCTGTAAGATCTCGCATGTATTCTTCCTTCAGCCCGAAACCGAAAACGTCGAGCAATCAGCAGACATTGACGAGCCAGTGGACAACCAAGAATGGGGGCAATGGACAAAGGAATACCCGGAAGTATCCCTGCAAGCCTTGACCGGTCTTGCCTCCTCTCAAACTATGAGAGTAACTGGACTAGTACAAGGGCGCCATGTGTCGGTTCTTATTGACAGTGGCAGCACTCTCAATTTCATTACCCAAACATTGGTTAGACAACTAGGGATTCCGGTCCAACCATGTACAGCATTCCGGGTGCACGTAACTAATGGGAGCAACCTGGTGTGCGACAGTACGTGCACAAGATTAAAAATGAAGATACAAGGACACGAGTTCGAGGTAGATCTACATCCCTTGGAAATCAATGGAGCAGATGTAGTTCTCGGAGTCCAATGGTTAAGGCAACTAGGGCCGGTGATATGTGATTGGGCCCGTCTCACAATGGACTTTCAAGTGGGCAGCTCACAGGTGCATATTCAAGGACAACAGACCCAACCCACATCATTTTAATGCAGATTGACTCCCACGGGAATGGCCCAATTCTAGCCCAAGGAAGTAACTCCAGCAGATCCGAAGAAGCCCACATACAACTACAACAACTACTTCAGAAGTTTTCAGTGATCTTCCAAGAGCCTAAGGAACTACCACCGAGACGTGCCCATGATCATTGCATTCCATTTCTGCCCGGAACGATACCCACAAATGTAAGGCCCTATCGTTACCCCTATTTTCAAAAACTAGAGATTGAGAGACAAGTGCAAGATATGCTTGATAGAAAAATTATACAACCCAGCCAAAGCCCATTCTCCTCGCCGGTATTACTTGTGAAAAAGAAGGATGGGACATGGTGGTTTTGTATAGACTATAGGGCCCTGAACAACATTATTGTGAAGGATCGATTTCCCATACCGGTAATCAATGAACTACTAGATGAACTCGGCCGGGCCACCATATTCTCTAAACTAGACCTGGGATCGGGATATCATCAAATTCAGGTCCATGAGGGTGACATCCACAAGACCGCCTTTCATACACACAAGGAGCATTATGAGTTTTTGGTCATGCCGTTTGGGTTGACCAATGTGCTAGCTATGTTCCAAGCACTTATGAATGACATATTTCGACCCCACTTGCGCAAATTTATACACTTTTTTTTTGATGATATACTTGTATATAGCGCTACATGGGATGAACACCTAGTACATCTACAAATCACCTTGGAACTACTAAGGACTCATAAACTCTTTGCAAAGGAGTCAAAGTGCGCATTTGGACAGACTCAAGTACACTACTTCGGGCACGTAGTAAAAAATGGCATTGTAGCAGCAAACCCGGAAAAGATCTCAAGCATGATAAATTGGCCCTAACCTCAAAATGTTGAGTTACGGGGCTTCTTGGGTCTAACAGGGTACTACCGGCGATTCATCAGAGGATATGGACTGATTGCTGCCCCCTTGACAAGTTTACTTAAGAAGAATGGTTTCTGCTGGACTAGGGAGGCCCAACAGGCCTTCGAGATGCTCAAAACAACTGTCTCGTCCCCATCGACTCTCACACTTCCAAACTTCTCAAAGGACTTCACCATTGAATGTGATGCGTCAAGCCAAGGAGTAGGTGCGATCCTCATGCAAGAAGAAAGGCCACTAGCGTTTTTCAACAAAGCAATGACAACACAAAAATGGGCCAAGTCAGTATACGAACGCGAACTGATAGCAATTGTTCTCGTAGTTCAGAGGTGGTGACCCTACCTTCTAGAGAGGAGGTTCATCATACGAACTGACCACCATAGCCTGAAATTTCTGTTGAAGCAGTCCATACTATCCCCAAAACAGCAGCGATGGATAGCCAAATTACTCGGCTACGATTATGTCATTAAATACAAGGCAAGGCACACTAACAAGGTGGTGGATGCGCTGTCACGCCAACCACAACTATTTCCATTACTTCTCACGGGCCCAACGTGTTCCATCATGAGTCAGTTAAGGGAAGAAGCTGAAAGACACCCACAACTGAACAAGCTGCGTTCACAGGTCCAAGAGGACCCTACTAGCCACCCAGGGTACACAGTGGAGAATAACTTGCTGTTGTATAAACGTCGAATGGTGATACCACAGGATTCAACCCATGTTCAGCAGCTTCTTGAAGTGTTCCACTCATTACCAGCAGGAGGACACTCAGGGATTTTGCGCACTTACAAGAGACTAGCCACCCAATTCCATTGGAAAGGCATGCGGAATTTGGTCCAAAAATTCATAGCCGAATGCGTCATTTGCTAGAAAAATAAGGCTGATACCTAGTCTCCAGCAGGTCTGCTACAACCACTCCCAATTCCTACACAAGTGTGGGCAGATAGATCCATGGACTTCATAACGGGGCTTCCCCTTTCCTATGGCAAGTCCGTCATTCTCGTATTGGTTGATAGATTTACCAAATACTGCCATTTTCTCCCTCTTTCTCACCCCTTTACAGCTTCAATGGTGGCTGAGATTTTTACTAAGGAGGTGGCACGACTGCATGGTACCCCTAACACTATTGTCTCAGACCGCGACCCAATTTTTATGAATCGTTTCTGGGCAGAACTTTTTCGACTACAGGGAGTGAA